TGAGCCCCGATTTCTGATTTTCTTTTCAAAAACACTCCCAGAATCCAAATTTTTCATCCCTTTTTCCCAAAATCAATTTCAATTAAATCCAAATAATATTTTTACCCAATTTTATCACTATTATTATTTTTATTTTCATTAAATTAAATTAAATAAAAAATCAAACAAATAAATAAAAATAAAAATAAATAAAATAAAAATTTTATTTTTATTTGGGTGTTACAATTTCTACCCTTGAAAGGTGATATTCTCATCTTGATGGAGCTGATATTACCATCCCTCCTTTCTTCTCTCCTCTCCACCCTATCTTCCCCCTCATCATTACAGGACTCGGCCTCATTTTCAAGATATTGAGTTCTAGGCCGTCTTGTATTAGGGGTCCTATGTCTTGCTTCACTTCAACCACTACTCAAGTTATCTACCTTCTAACTAAGCCGTGCTAATTCTGCATGTATAGCCTCCATAAGGAGCATTATGTTAGCAGAGCTTTGATGCTCACTTGACATTTTAAAAAGATTTCCTACAAAAGGGTTAGTTAAAAAAAAGTTTTCCTTTTCACTAGTTCTCTCGTATTTTATTCATTTCACTTTTATCCTCTAATAATTTTACATATTCTTACTTTTTACTTTTCTATCTCCCACCCTCAAGTTGAGTGCCGAATAGATCTTCTTGAAATAAAGTATTCTCAAGTATTGTTTTAAGACATCGCAAGGAGTCCTATAGAACAAATACCGCACCAATACTAGAAGAAAGAGCGTAACACACAAAGAAAGAGGTAGTGTGTGATCAATTACGCTAAGCTCTAAGATACAATTTAAATGCTTAGATGTGTCAGGAAACTAAAGTTTAGAACAATAAAAGAAACTGAGAGAAAAAAAATTGACAATTTATAGAAGATGTAGGGATTCGGTATTGCCCCAAGGAAAAATTCGAAAGATATTCCTACCAATTTATTCCCGATGTACATTATGTTCTATATAAAAAAAATGTAGCCTTTAATGAATTATGTAAGTGTGAATGCATATGGTTGTACAAAAATTGTAAAATAAAAGGGGCTTTTGCCTTATGTAGAGGTGGTTCTTACACCGTTTCAAAGAATGATGGTTGAGTACCAAAAAGGTAAGTACTTTCCCGATGAGATTTCTTTCCTTTGTTTCTTTTTCCTTCTCTCTTTTTTTCTTATTTTTTATCTCTTTTTTTTTTTGCACAGGAAACAAAATTGTAAGAAAAGTATATTAAAAAAATTAGTACTCAACAACAATTTTATCAAGGCAAGAAAGTATCAATTGACTGTCTTGCTTGGATCGATGTATGAGATAATCTTTTTTTTAGTAAATGAATAAAAAAACAAACAAATAAACGGTGCAAGAATTTAAAAGTACAAAAATAAAAGATAATAGGTCTAGATGGAGCCAAAGCTCTAATACCAAATAATGTGAAACTCAATATCAACTAACGTGATTAAGAACTCACACAATTTCATTTAAAGACATAAAGAGAATTGATCCTATAGAAACACTTTCCTACTTAACTCACTATCAAGAATGATATAAACTAAGGTCACTGAAAATAAAAGAAATAGAATGGAAATATTATATTTTGATAAGTAGATCTACTCCTTACTCAACAAGATAGTAGAAGAACCTTTCTTAAAAAGAAATACTTTTAATATTATTGAAATAATTTCTGAATATCTTACAATGAAGACTTGGTGGCCTATTTATAGGCTAAGTCAAGTAAATAAAAAAAAATCTCTTAATTTAATTTGCAATTATATAAAAAATAAATTAAAAATTAAAAATTAAAAAATAATTTTGTAAGTAAGATAAATTTAATATTTTTTTTTTAATTAAAAAAGATTGTGGTCAAATTAAGAGAGGAGACATATATAAATAAATTAAAAATTAAAAGTTAATTTTCTAACTAAAATAAATTTAATTTTCTCTTTTAATTAAAAAAGATTGTAGTTAAATTAATAGAGAAATATATAGAAATTTAGGACCGACCATAAGATCTATTTTTCGGCCCATTTTCTCATCTTTTTTTGGATTAGGCATTCTCTTTCTGGTCCATGTTCATGCTCACATCACTTATAACTCTTAATAAATTGTAGTTCACCTGTATAATTAAATTATTTTATTACTGTATCAAATTAATTTATAATATTTAAATTATAAACCACAAATTTATAACAAAAATACCCGGAAGTGGCTTAAAATTTAAATTTATAGTAATTTTTTTAGAGATTGCATGTAGTAATATGAGATATACATATATATTAGTCTTTCAAAAATATATTATTTAACAAAAGTGAAAAAAAATTAATAATGAAATTAAAAAATATATTATTCTTTTAAATATTACCTTCCGAATAATTTTTCCCTCGTATAAATAGCTGCCCTTGCCCCCGGTCGTCTCTCCCTTGTTTCCTGGAAATCTTTCTTTCTATCTCTGCAACAAGCCCACCCACTCACCTAAACGGGTCAACCCGACGCCTCTACTATGGACAGACCCAAATTCGTTATTGAACCGACGGAGGCCGAATCGATGGCGAACCAATTAGGCCTAACGGTCCTCGAGCTTCTGCCATCTCTGGTGAAACCGGCGCAGTCGCTGGCCCGTCCACCCATCTCCAAGTACCACGTTGGCGCCGTCGGACTCGGTTCATCGGGTCGGATCTTCCTGGGAGTCAACCTGGAGTTCCCGGGTCTCCCTCTTCACCACTCAGTGCACGCGGAGCAATTTCTTGTCACCAATCTCTACCTCAATGCAGAATCCAACCTCCGATACGTCGCCGTTTCCTCCGCCCCATGCGGCCATTGCCGTCAATTCTTCCAAGAAATTCGCGGTGCATCAGATATCAACGTCCTCGTCACCTCCGATGAACCTAACGAAGATCGCAGCAAATTCCGTCCTCTATCGTATTTTTTGCCTCATAGGTTCGGTCCCGATGACCTCCTGGATAAGGACGAACCCCTCCTTCTCGAGCCTCACCGGAACGGGTTGTCTCTATTGGGCGCGAAAGAGAATTGTTGTTCTGAACTCTGCAACGGCGATACTTTTGCCGAGGAATTGAAGCGCGCGGCTTTGGATGCAGCGAATAGGTCCCATGCGCCATACAGCAGGTGTCCATCTGGAGTGGCGTTGATCGATTGCGAAGGAAAGGTATACAAGGGTTCGTACTTGGAATCCGCTGCTTATAACCCTAGCTTCGGACCGGTACAGGCGGCGATAGTTGATTATGTGGCAAATGGCTTTGGTGGCGGCTACGAACGAATCGTTGGTGCTGTGTTGGTGGAGAAGGAAGACTCTGTTGTCAGGCAAGAACACACGGCGAGGCTGATTTTGCAATTGATATCGCCCAAGTGCACTTTCAAGGTGTTCCATTGCTGCTGACTGTTCTAATTAATGGAGTAAGAAAATTATCAGCTCCTTATTCTTGTTTCATGTGAGTAATTGATGTCTATATGCATTTGTTGTGCCACGATGATGATGAAAAAGAAGCGGCAATCCAGATGAATAATATAACTCTGTATCTTTCTGCTTTGTTGATAGTTTACCCACATGGATTTGATACTTTTGATTTACAGAAATCAATGGTTGAATAATAAATTATACTTGGTATTAGTTCAATTGAATCCATGTATATTATCCTTCATATATTTTATCAATTAGCTAAACACATACAACCCAATCCACAATCCAAGAAATGGCTTTATCTTACTGTCCAGCAACTGTAGTAGTGCATGAAAGCAGATTCAGATGCATGAATCCTTTATGTTAGAAGAAGCATGATCCTGTTATATTTGCAGTGTTTAATAGGTATTGGTCCAGACCCAGTTGCATTTTGATTGGAGTTGCAGTATTTCACCATTTTCTTGTTCTCATAAACAGCTTTTTGTATATCCACCGATCATCAAAATCTATCTGCTCCCGTAGTTTCTCAGCTGTTTATTGTAGAGAAAAAATTTTCTTTTAAGCCTTCGGGACTTACCCGATTAGGATTTTCACTATCTTAAGACTGTTATATTTACCATTACCGTTCACCGGGACTTCGGTTGCCAGCTCCCTTGTCATCAAGTCACTAACTTCCTTGACCTTTTGACATTAGGCAGACGTCAGCTCCCCATACATGATGTTACAACTTTGTGGAGATTTATATTATTGATAAATAGTCATCCGGATGTGGTGAATGCGACTCCTTTTGTGAGGAGGCACCAATTCTACCGAACCTAAAGGACTATTTAGAGAGAGTTGTCTCATGCTCTTATATATTTTCTATCCTGTGTACCTGTGTCAATTTTTTGTTAAGTAAAGATTTTTGTTGAAGATTGTTGGAGCTTTTTGTAAGTGAAGTTATTGAAATCATTTGAATTGTTGAACTTTTACAGTGAAGTTTTAATTTGACTGAAATTAATAGAATTGTTCAACATTGAGGAAGGTGAAAAGGGTTTTCCAATATGTTGAGTGAAGAGAGTTTAATGAAGCTTTGGGTTTGTATCAAAGTGGGTGGTAAAGATGATGAACAGTGTAATTACTGGCTGCAATCATTTTATTCTTTTTAAAAATCCTCATAATCTTCTTACATATCAACCATTCATAAAATATTGAGTTTCTTGTCTTATATTTAATAATTATTCAACAAGAGGACAGAAATAAAATAATTAAATTGTGATTTATTACTATGTTTGAAATGGCTTATAATAATTTCGTAATAATGTTTGGTATGTATTATTTGGAATTTTTTTTTTTTAATTTTTAATCTTAATACCCAATTTTGAGTAATTAAACATTCATTAATTAATTAAAATTAAATGACTTAATCTTATTGAAAATACTCGATGCATTTGCTTAATTATTTTTTACCAAGTCTTGTAAATCCAAAGCTTCTGGTTAAATAAAGATTTATAATAATTTATTTTTCTTAAGATAAATTACATTCCTCTATATCTTATACATTTCATAATTATTGGGTTCTTGATCATTTTCGTTAACAACTTCACAAATTTTACTTCAAATTTCTTAATTTTTCGTTAGTTGCATATCAATGCAAGTGTGTCCAACACACAAGTATCGCATGGATAGGAGAACAATATAACTTTTCTTTTTAGAATATTCTTGACAATTATCTAAAGGTCCTGGTCCTCTAAGAAACACTAGTTGTATATATATATATATATCAATTCAGTGAATTTTCATAACAAGCAAACTCTTCTTAAATTTTGTTTCTCCTTGTCCGTTAGTTATAAGTAATTATTATAGAAACTTTATCATATTCAACTATTCTACCATCTCATGAAGATAATAACACCCAGAGCATTTGAATTAAAATCAAAAAAGTGATCTTTTTATTTTCTTTTATTGAGCTAAATAAACATCATTATTAAAATAAAATATTCTCTTATGAGTTCAAAATATAATCTTTAAGTTTTGTTTCTAGTCATTTTGATCAAATATGTTAATTTTAATTTTATTGAACTTGAAATCTTAGCTGTGGAGATTTTTTTTTTAATACACGCATAGATGTTCAAAGATTTTAATTGGATATTTATAAAGTCTCTTAGTATTTTCTTTTTAAATTCCCCAGGCATCAACTATGGAAATCATACCTTATAATGAGTTTAGTGGTATCCAAATCCTAGCAATATAATTAAGGGAGATTATAACACCCTTAAATTCATAGTTATATTACAATGCTACATATTTTTGAGAAAAAATTCATAAATATACAAATTCTACAACAAATATCAAATTAAGCCAAAATTTTGTCTCAAATGTTAAATAATTAATTATTCTTTTAAAATGTAGCTACAAATGGAAACTCAAATAATTAAACTCATTAAATACAATAATCTCTAAATTCAAGATAAAGTTAATAAGTTTTAAAATTTTTATTCAAAATTTTTCAGTCACTCACGCATTCTGTTTGATTTTAAATTAGTAAGGAAAAAAATATATATGATGAACTCATAGTTTAGTAAATAATAATAAAATACAAATCAATTGAACATATACGCTTAAAGGATAATGAAAAAAAGTTGATTTAATATATAACAAATTAAATATAATATTTAACTAATTACAGATATTTTCTCAAAAATTTAATATAAATATGTTGAGTGATGACAAACTAAAGATATAAGATAAGTTAATACCATTATTTCTAAAAGCTAAAATCACATTTTATCCCTCTGATAGTATCAAAGGTCATAGTAACTTCTACTGTATAGGTTTAAATATGTATATTTATCCGTGTACCAGAATATGAAAATATATACTTCTAATAATACTAATATTTATTTCCATTAGTAGGGACACAATAAAAGTTCAAAACAAACTTATATATAATTTATATTCTCATCAAATGAAATATCTCAAAGTTTTAATTTTATCAAAAGATAAACTTAACTCAAACTGTATAATTAAAAGCAATAGAATGGAGATATATTTTTAGAAAAGTTATACAAATAATAAATAATTATAAGACCAATAAGACCTTATAGAATTCAAAATAAAAATTACAAGACTGTAGAATAGGTCAATAAAGAAAAATCTCTTCTCTATAGGCATTTTGTTCTAGAAAATTGAAAGAAAGTCCATCAATTAATCAGTATTTGTTTAGTGCGTATAAGTATCAAGAGTGATAGGGAAAACGAAGAGGAAAATGGAAAAACGAAGAATTAAACCTATATTTTGAAATAAAAGAAACATATTCAAGCCCAACATCCTTAATCTCTTAATAAAAAAATAACATATTACCAAGTCAAATAATATAGAATCTTATGTTGAGACTCACAGTGGAGATTTATATTTTAAATCTGCCATACGAAAATATTAATATATAAGAATTGACCAAATGACCAACTACCCTTTAAGCCCAAGTTCCAAACAAGAGAAACACATTAACCTCTCTCTCTCTCTCCCTCTCTCTCTCTTTCCATTGTTTTGTTTTTGTATATTTTCTCTCTCTAGAGGATGCTACAACAAGTATATACCAAGCCTAAGGCCCAAGACTAACACTTTACTAGTATAAAAATAGACTAAGTTTGTATTATAATTGATGTAATCTTTTTGTTAATTGTCAAACTTAATCTAATTATTTTTTATAAAATTTTATTATGGAGTTATGTTCTTGTAAATAATGCCTAACATCATAAATAATTTTGTAATTTTATCTTTATAAATTAAAAAAATTAATTTTAGTTTCTCCTAGTGGTTTGACTTTTTCTAAACTAAGGCCTTATAGTTTTTTTGGCAACTCATTATCTTAAACTTTAGATATCAATGATACTGGTTGATTTTTATAACAGTAAAAATAAAAACACACATGACCATTTTCCAACCACACACGCAAACACCTGAAAATTAAAAAATAAAAATTAACTTATTACAAATATAACATTAAACAAAATTTAAATTTAATTAAATAAAACAAAAAACCAATCACATCTGCTTCTTCATCTTCTTTGCTTCTACATATTCTTTTCTAGCTAACAAAAAAGAAAAACCAAAGTTAACCTAACTAGGCTTAAGAAGGAGCAATAGAACAGAAGTAATAAAAATAAACTTTATTAACTCGAGAATGAAAAAGCAAGTGTGAAATAGTAGATTTATTCTAGACTCTCAACTTAAGGCTAATAGTGGGAAATGAGGAAATAAAGAACTAAGCATATATTATGGTTATAATAAAAGGTCGATTGTGGCAAAACAAAAGGAAGAAACTAAGAGTAAAATAAAGGAGGAGAGGCTTGAGTATATAAAAAATAGAAAAGGGTGTATATATTAAGGGCTTGAGCGAATAGGGAAAAAAGTTAAGAAATTACAGACAAGTGAAAGAGGTTATCCAAGAGAAAGGCTTAGGGTTTTCAAAAGAATGAAAACATATTATGAACTCTGAAGATATTAGTTTGAGAGAGTTGATTACAAATTTGAGAGTGTAAATATAAAAGAAAGATTTAAGATTAGAGAGATATATGAGTTAAGCCAATGGATGATCTAGGGTTTTTGATTTGCATCCAAAATCAGTAAAGAGAACCATGAGCTTTAATAAGTCCAGTAACAGTTTATTTAGCACTTGGATGATCTTATTTCTTTTTTCTATAAGTAAATGAATACTAAGAATAATCATGTATTATAAGTATCTCTTCATGTTTTAGGTTGAAATCAAATCCTATTTGGGTTTGCTTCTTTACACTTATTTTTCTTAAAAATTAGTGTAATTTGATAATTTTGTTATTCTTTAACAAATAAAATGTGAGGTTTCCTGTATAGAGGACTTAGAACTTCAATAAAAACATCGTGTATGATGTTTTTTGGGTATCCAGTATTAAAGCACGTAATGATAAATATGTTTTTTAATAGATATATTAATTTCGGTAATTTGTTTTCAAGTGTCCACATTTGTTGCTGAAGAGTGGCCACTAATCAGTTTAATCAACCTGATTTCATCAAAATCAGTCTAAGTGTACTTAGTGATAAATAATATGAGATATCATTTATCATGATCCATGAATATGAAACACATATATTAAATTATTTGATGGAAATAAAGCCAAAGCTCGGAAACACAAGATTCATGATTGACTACCCGCGGGATGAGAGAAGTACATGCAGATGGGC